CCTTGTTAGAAAACAAGGGCTGGTGTACCAACCAATGAGAGAGGAATTTTAATGTGGGGCAGGACACACCTCACATGGGTCCGTGACTCACTCAGGTTGACTAGCCAAGGCGCCCTCTTAGATCATGATGGAAAGCCCCCCAGTCCCACAACTAGCTCATAATCGCCTCCTTTGGCCTATACTATCTTGTTTCTGCAATCACACATACATGATTAATTTACAAGACAAGTGGGCCAAGGGAGCCCACCTTATCTTTGGCCGAATGCACATTCAAAAGAAGAAAAAAGGTCAGAGGATAGATGAAAGAAGAAGAAAAAGATAGAATAGAGGAATTGGGAAAAAAGGAATTTAACTAGGTGACTAGACTAACACAGTAGCTAGACTAGCTAGTGATTGACCCAACATGGTAGCAAGACGGGCAAGGTAACTAGATGGACACAACGATGGTACTACTAGACGACAGAATGATCACCAACCAGCCTAGCACGATGGCTAGCCTATCATGATAATAAGACGAGCACGGTAACTAAGACTAGCACAGTCGCAATACTGCTAGACGTTGAGACTACCAGGACAGTGTTTGACTTATCCTCCCTTGGTCAATCAAAAGGGAAAGAAGGAAGACGAGAGAGAAGAGAGTGGGGAAGAGAAAATCAGAGAGGAATAGAGGCGAGAAGGGAGAAGAGAAAAGAGGAGGAAGAAGAAAGAGAGGGGAGAAAAGGGAAATGGAAGAGAGAGAATAAAGAAGTAAGAAGAGAGAGAAAGAAGAGAGGAAAGAGAAACATGGGCAGTGATGAGCTTCAGCCATTCATGATAGGAGAGGGAGAAAGGGAAAGGAACATGGACGGCAATGAGCTTTCGCCGTCCATGACAGAGGAGAAAGAAAAGGAAAAGAACATAGACGACAATGAGCTTTCACCGTCCATTACAAAAGAGAGAGAATAGAAGAGAATGTGGACGACAATGAGCTTATGTTGTTCATAACAAAGGAGAGAAAAAATAGAAGAAAATATGGACGACGATGAGCTTCCACCAACTATTACATAGGAGTAAGAAGAAAGAAAAAACATGAACGACGATGAGCTTCTGTCGAGTGAGAAGAGAGAGAAAATATGGACGATGATGAGCTTCCGCCGTCTATAAAAGATGAGTAAGAAGAGAGAGAAAATATGGACGACAATGAGCTTCCGCCGTCCATAACAAAGGAGGGAAAAGAGATAGAAAACATGGACAACGATGAGATTTTACCATCAATGACAGAGGAGGGAGAAGAGAGAGAAAATATGGATGACGATGAGCTTCCATTGTCCATGACATAGAAGTGAGAGAATAGAAGAAAACATGGACGACGATGAGCTTCCGCCGTCCACAACATGAGAGAGAGAAGAAAGAGAAAACATGAACGACGATGAAGTTCTACCATCCATGACATAGAAAAGGGAGAATAGAGAAAATATGGACAGCGATGGGGTTCCACCGTCCATGACAAAGGAGGGAGAAGGGAGAAAAAACATAGACGACGATGAGCTTCCGCAATCCATGACATAGGAGTAAGACAAGGGAACTCTGATAGAGGCCTGGCCCACCACTCGAGTTAAGGCCCAGCTCACTGTTTATGTTCTAGGGAGAGGAGAACATCATGCCCATCGATAGGCTTCGCCATGCATGAACGGAGAAGAGAGAGAAGAGAATAGGGAGAAAGGAGGAAGATAGAGCTTAGGAAAGCGAGGAAAGAGAGGAAAGATAGAAAAGAGAGAAGGAAAGTGAATAAAGAAGGTCAGGAAAGAGAGAGGAAAAAGAGAGATAGACGAGAGGATAGAGAAAGAGATAGATAGAGGAGGAGAGAGACAGAGATAGATGAGAGGAGAGAGAAAGGGAGACGAGAAAAGAGAGAAAGAGAGAGATAGACGAGAGGAGGAGAGAGAGATGAGAGGAGAGAGAAATATATAGACGAGAGGAGAGAGAAAGAGATAGATGAGACTAGGAGAGAGAAAGTTACCTTCACCAAAGGATACCAGACTTTTTCTTCTCTTTCCTCTCTCTCTCTCTGAGATGTGCCCACAATTTCAACGTGAAAACTTCCAAATTTTATTAATGAGATTGAAAAATCAGGGGGTCCTTGACAATTAGGTTTAGCATGTATTTATAGAATTGGGCCAAAACATGGGGTATACACCCAAAATCTAACCTAATTGATGATAATTATAATTTAATTGAATTAAAATAAATCTAAAAATGGGTGCAAAAGGGTTGTTTTGCCCCTGCTTAACAATACATGAAATTTCAAGATAGTCCTTGCTGCTACCTTAGAACTTGTGTGATCTTCCATCGTTGATTCGGGGTTGCTCCATCATTCATTGGGCTGAAAGATGATTGCTTTCTTATCGGGTTCGACATGACGATCGATTTGATATCAACTTCAAGCCATGAATCGTGTTTTTAGGCCATGATCATGTGACTCGAAATTTGCATAGATCTTGGAAACTTTGAATCGATAGTGTGCTCGTTCCTTGATAGCTTTCTTTGATTTCTTCGTTGAATCGTACTGAGTATGCCATCACAATCACGTTGTATTAAACGCAGCTCGATTTCGTATCCGGATGAAGATTTCGTCGTCTTGGGATTTTGGTCGGAATCTAGAAATCCGGCCGATAGATTTGGAAATCCGGTCGACAGAATCTGTAGTAACTTTAACACATTCGTGTGCCGAATCTAACCGTTCATCGCACGTGGAGTTCGGACTGGACATAGCCTCGGACCTTACCTACATTATCCAATTGGTTTCATGCCGATCGGGTACGTGAGCGCCGTGATATGGCCGCTTGAGCAAGGCATGTCGCTGTTGAATTTTTTGCAACTATCTTCATGAATCACCAACTTCTCTTTAGTTTTTCTTCCTACTCGAGTATCGTCACGGGTCGTGCCACATATCAAAACGCTCGTTTTGATAAGATGAACACGCTCACTAAATTTGAGCTCGATCCGATTCAAGACGAGTGAGATACAAGTCTTTAAAGTTGCTGCTTATGACTGTGCAAACCAGTCTCCTTTAATGGAGATTGGTGCAGGGAGGCCACACAGGAATAGCACACGGTCTACCCCTTTTTAATGTTTTACCCCTAACTTTGTTCTGAATGTCCGTTTAAGCCGAAACTTGACCCCCAGGGGTTTTCGACCATACCGGATCTAATGGCCATGGTCTCACAGGTGTTTGACGTACCAAAAATAGAGTTGTAGTTACAGGATCCGTTTCAGTGTGCTAGAGGCTAATTTTTTTTAAATTGTTTCTTTGTCTGTGTTGTCTTAGATATGTTGGATTGCGACGAAACTTTGCAGGTGGCCTTTTGGAGTGCTTAGGAAGATTTTGACCCGTTATGGGGCAATTATGAGATTGTCGAGAATTTCACTGTATATCAAGGCTTTATTGACCGGCTTCTCTTTTATTCTGCATCGGGGACTCAAGGTGCTGAAAAATGTGTTCAAACAATTAAACTTTAAATTTAGAATTTGATATGAAAATATATTTTAAGGCTATCACAAAGATTGCCAATATTGAAACATCTCTCAGCACTATTTGAATGGGGCTCTACTTTGATTGTTTAGAGCCTCGGCTCTATACAACCTGCACCCAAAAGGAAATACTCCTCATATTTTTTAACACTATTTTCGTGTATTTATGGATATGCTTGATTGTCACCATTTTTTTTGAAATTCAAATTTCATAATTACTTCCCAATAGATTTCATGCCATTGAAATGCGTGTTACTTCAATAGTATAAGATCGACACCTTTAGTAAAAGAAATGTACGATTAATATCCATCCATTTCCTAAATGGAAGGTGGATGCCCTACAGAAGTGCCTTTCAGCCTATCGTACCTTTTCCCTCACCTACTTTCCCTAGGTAGAGTTGGAAGGGCATCTGAGTGATGGCCTCAACAACCATCGTTGCAGGGTAACTATCAAAAGAATGTTTTATTGCGGGTTACTATCAAAGGGATGTTTTATTCGGATATTTTTATGTTTGTTTTTTAAAGCATATTTATCGGATAGTTACTAGGATTTTAGTCAATATATAAAAAATCGACTTAACCAAAGTACTCGGCCTTTTGGCAGAGTCGAGTAGGACTCTGCCAAGTCATCCACAGGGCTGAAAAGAAGCCCTCAATAAATTGGAAAAAATTGACAAAAAATAAAAAATAGAAAAATACATTAAAAACAAAATAAAACCGAAAAGAACAATAAGGACCCAAAATAAGGTTGATGAAGTATTGAAAAAGGATTTTAAAAAAACATTTTTAGTTCAAGGCATTTTAAAAAATAAAACAAATTTATGGCAAAAAACAGACACCAGGTATTCCCAAAAACACATGAATCATACACAAAAGATTGATAGATCAATCCCACATTTTCTACAATTTTTAGAAGTTTTTTAATATCCCGGAGTTTTACTCACTACTTGGGGAAACTAGGCTGAGTCCCGGTATATTGATTTCAGTATATCAAACGGATATTTGTTCATTATGAAAATAATTTTTTATTTAGATGCACAAAAGAAAATATAAATCTTAAACTCTACAAATGACAAAGTTGACTGTGATTTCCAATATATATCAAAACTAAACTATGAGCTTATTATCCAATATAACAACTTTAACTCACATAACTAGTATCCATTTCTTGAGGATTGCTCCCATTTGCCTTTAAGATTTTTGGATCAATTTTAATGTAAATGATATGCTTCTGTGAAATTCAAGTTGATAATTTTTCTTTCAACTTGCATAAAAGTTAGTATCAGGAAAGGTTTCTTTCATTATGAGAATGAGAAGCCTTAATACATGTGACAAAGATAGATATTATGTTACCATAGTAGAATTTTTGGTGATAAAATAAGCATAAATTCAATTTCTGAAAGATAATTGTCTCTAATGAGTGAGTTTTTCTTTGTTTTGACACAGCTAGTCTTTCCCTCTCTTTTTTTTTTATTTTTATTTTTCTTCAGAACCACAAATTGGTACTAGTTGAAGCAGATGGAAGCTACATCCAGCCAGTGACTGTGGAGAGCCTGGACATATACTCAGGGGAGACCTACTCCCTCCTCCTCCACACCAACCAGGATCCCTCCACCAATTACTGGGCCTCTGCCAGCATCATCTCCCGCCACCCGAAGACGCCGCCGGGCCTTGCCATCCTCAATTACCGGCCCAATCCCTCTTCCCTCCTCCCCCGCTCCGCTCCTCCCACTCCCCCCAAATGGAATGACACTGCCCGTGCCATCGCCTTCGCTCGCAAGATCGTCGCCGATCCCCTCAGGAACACCAACCCTCCAGCATCTGCGATCCATCGTATCGTCCTCCTCAACACGCAAAACAAAATCAATGGCTACACTAAATGGGCGATCAACAATGTATCCCTGGTCCTCCCCGCAACACCGTATCTGGGATCCATCCGCTATGGCCTCCACTCTGCATTCGACTTCCACACAAACCCTCCAGAGGATTTCCCCGAAAACTATGACATCTTTCGGCCACCACAGAACCCGAACGCGACGACTGGCAATGCAGTGTACAAGCTGAAACTGGGCAGCACGGTTGATGTGATCCTGCAGAATGCGAATTTGCTCACAGAAGGGACCAGCGAGGTGCACCCTTGGCACCTGCATGGACATGACTTCTGGGTTCTCGGCTTCGGGGACGGGCGCTTCAACTGGCAGAGGGATGCAGCAAGGTTCAATCTGAAGGACCCGCCGCGAAAGAACACGGTGGCGCTGTTTCCATATGGGTGGACGGCCATACGGTTTGTGGCCGATAACCCTGGTGTGTGGGCCTTCCATTGTCACATTGAGCCACACTTACACATGGGGATGGGGGTGGTAATTGCCGAGGGCGTCGACAGGGTGCGTAATGTGCCCCGGGACGTGCTCGGCTGCGGGATGACCAGGAGACTCATCGGGCCGCATGGACCCTAATCCGATACTGCCGGATTTGGATTTGGGTCACTGATAACACAAATAGTTGTTGGGTCCTTTTTGAACCTCCATGTTAGAGCATTTAGGGCAGCCATACATCTCTTCTTTGGGTTTCATGATGTCAGTTAGTATTTGATACATATATGGATCTTTCATCCTAGATACTGCAGAAAAGTTGTTTGGAAGATATGGAAATTGAATCCAGGTTTTGCAAAATCCACTGTTTAATTATATTATGAAGTTGTTAAACTATGGATTTTCCAATTTAATTATATTATGAAGTTGTAAGAGGTTTACTATTTTTTATTGGGTGCGGTATGAACAAAGCCGAGGCTCTAAACAATCAAAGTAAATAGAGTCGAGAAATGTGGTTTCAATACTGCAAATCTTTACGATAGCCTTAAAATATATTCTTATATTTAATTATAAAATTTAAAACTCCAAAAATAGTGTAGATCAAGCCGATCTAAGAAAACTTGAAAATCTTGAAAATTGACGGTCCAAAAATGCAATACAAGATGCACTATTTCCAAAACTTGAAATCCAATTGTTTTCTCATGTCCATGCTTCTTGATGTCGAGATGATCAATTTGACTATATTTGAGCATTCAAACAACCTCTTCTAATGAAATTTTTGAAATAGGCTTTAACCTCTTCTAATGAAATTTTTGAAATAGGCTTTAACCTCTTCTAATGAAATTTTTGAAATAGGCTTTAACCTCTTCTAATGAACTTTTTGAAATAGGCTTTAACCTCTTCTAATGAAATTTTTGAAATAGGCTTTAATTTGATTGTTTTGACTATATAAACTTTTTCCTTTTTTTTTTTCTCTCTCATTCCACTATTCTAACCGTGTACTTTCTCACGAACCTTGCTTTTTCTCTAACTCATCTCTCAGTAAATATTTCATTTCTCTCTCTAACCACTCTCTAGGCATGCCTTTTCTCATTCCAACTCCTTTCTCTCTCTCTATTTGTGCCCTTTCTTTTGTAAACTTCTCTCTCTAATTGCGCACTTTCTATCTCTAACAATTGCCTTTTATCTCTTTAACTCGTAGTTTGTAGCCTCCCCCTCCCCAAAACTCTCCCTTCTCTCTGTAACTGTGCATTTCTTCTCTTTAATTGTGCCTTTCTTCTCTAATTCCAGCTGTGCACGCACTCTCTAACTGCACTCTATTTGATTGTGTTCTTATTCTCACTAACTCCCCTTTCTTGCCCTTTTTCTCTCTAACTTTACCTTTTTCCTTTTTAACTCATTTCAGGATGCACTTTCTTTTTCTAATGGTGCCTTCTCTAACTCCTCTTTCTCTAATGGTGTACTTTTTTATGTTAACTGCCGGTTTTTTTAAATAGTTTAGGCTCAGTTTGGATGTCAAATAAAAAAATATTCATATTGGAAAAAAAATACAATTTTTTTATTTTCAATTGAAAAACATTATCGCTTTATTTTATTATATTGGTAGATTGTTTGGACGTCTCTTAAACTATAAGGAGAAAAATTTATTTGCCAAATATGTTTGTTTGGATGCATTGTAAGAAATCTATAAAAAATCCCAAACCCAATTTATACAATTCTATAATTTAATTATATTGATTCTTCTTTCTAGATTTGCAATTTATTCCTATAAATATAGGAGACAAAGAGAATGAGAAGAACCAGAAAACAGGAGCAGGGAGAAGTTCAATATTATTATTAGAGAGAGGAGCAGGGAGAAGTTGAATATTATTATAGTTCAATATTATTATTAGAGAGAGGAGCCGGGAGAAGTTGAATATTATTATTAGAGAGAGAGTAATGGATGGCAAAAAGATGTTTCCTCTATAAATATTTTGAGGTTTGGGCAAAAGAGGTTTGCTCTGCAAGTATTTTAAAGTTGTAAAACATCTCGCTCTATGTATTCCGAAAACTAGTCCATTAAATTTAGATAGAGAATAAAGGTTCTTAGAGATATCGAGCAAAAGCCAGAATTAAAAAGAAATCACTATCCAGCAACCCGTCGAAATGCTAGAGAGAGCTCTATGAAATTAGGGGCTTTCTAGAGAGAAAAATGGAAAGGATTCGAGAGAGAGCTCTCTGAAATTAGGGGCTCTCTAGAGAGAAAGATGGAAAGGATGCTAAGGAGAGCTCAGTGAAATTAGGGCATTCTAGAGAGAGAAAGATGGAAAAGAAAGGTTCATTGTTTAGAGAGAAAAAAATTCGATAGGATCGAGAAAGGATGTTAAGATCTGTTGTTGAGGATGAGAGAAGGAAATAGTAGTGAGATGGTGGAAAGGTGAAGTGAAATTAGGGGCATTCTAGAGAGAGAAAGATGGAAAAGAAAGGTTCATTGTTTAGAGAGAAAAAAATTCGATGGGATCGGGAAAGGATGTTAAGATCTGTAGTTGAGGATGAGAGAAGGAAATAGCAGTGAGATGGTGGAAAGGTGAAGAGAGAAGCAAAAGTTTGGGGGAAAAACATAAAGGCCAAAAGAGAAGCGAAAGTTTGGGGGAAAAATGCGAAGAGAGAACCTAAAAAACTTGCGAGCAAAAAAAATTTGAGTCAAACTCAAATTTTTTCCGCTCACATTTTTTGGCACATTTGGATTTACGTCATAATCTATTTTGTTGAGAAATAAATGCTGATGGAGTTATCCAAATGGTTCCAGTGCCTATCTCAAATTTTTTTTCTTGTCAATGAAAAATATTGTAATTTTGGGTACATCCAAACTCGCCCTTAGGAATTTGTTTTTTTTAAAGTGTTAGTGAGGTGGGGTAAGTGGAATGAAAACCACAACATGGTGATTAGAGTATCAACTAGGGTGTGGGGGTGCTACGACCAAAAACCTAATTGCTTTTCAGGATTGGCATATCCTCAAAATACAAATTCTAGCCTTTCTTTTATTGGCATAGCTTGGATATGAGCCTTTTTGTTGATTGGAGTATCTAGGAAATAGGGGTCTCTAGAGAGCACCAAATGAAATTTTTTGGTCATATACTAGATATGCAAATCCTGAAAAGACAGTTCCAACGATCAAACCAAAGCTATAAACAATCAAAGTAGAAGTATTTGGAGGCCTTCAAACTTGGGGGTTCTAAATTAAACTTCAATGGGAGTTCTCAGGGGAACCTGGGACTTACAGGTATTAGTGGTGTCTACCAAGACTTTTTCGATGATGTGATTTTCACCTATGCAGGACCTGTTGGTACAGCTACTGCGAATCGTGCAGAGTTGCTTGCATTGCTTCAAGGACTAAAAGTTTTCATCTCGAAGAACCTTGGCAGTTGCTGCATATTTGAGGGAGATTCCCTGAATGCTATTAGATGGTGTAATCAGGAGCAAGGGGTCCCATAGGAGCTGAGGTCTTATTGGTTGCAGATTATGGATCTGGTAGAGCCTTTATACATTGCTTTTCTTCATTCTATCGAAAGGCAAATACTTTACTAGATTCTCTTGCTAAAGGAGGAGCGTCTCTACCTTGCTCTTGATTTCTTTTGATGTAATTTCTTTTTCGTAAATTTCGTAAATAAATTATTGAATTTCATAAAAAAAAAAAATCAGAATAGAGCGCACCTTCAAATAGTGTCGAGAAATATGGTTTTAATATTTAAAATTTTGGGATAGCCTTAAAATATATTTTCATTTCTAATTGTAAAATTTAAAGCTTCGAAAGTAGTGTACATCGAGTAGAACTACGAAAACTTCAAAATATTGAAATTTGATAGTCCAAAAATGCATTACAAGAAGTGCTATTTCGAAAACTCGAAATCCATTTTTTTTTTTTCATGTCAATGCATCTTGAAAACGAGATGATCAATTTGTGGATATTTGAGCATAAAAGCAACATCTTCTAATAAAATTTTTGAGGTACGCTCTAATTTGATTGTTTAGGGCCTTGGCTCTATATAAACTTTTTCCTTAAAGGATTGCATTTGTGCTGCTTTTCTTGGGTTGCATCCACCAAATCCATCAATGCATCTAGTGAGTCATGAAAACCTTGCATACCTGCTTGTCTACTTATTTACCTCAATAAGTATGAAAGGAGAATGTTAAGTATGATAGGAGGATGTTTAGTTGTCTAGATATGGAGGAGAGAAAAACAAAGCAGATTTTCTTGTTAACTAGTTGTTCCATGTTGGGCTCATCCGTTACAGGATGGTATGAATACGGATGCGTGTAGTGGAATCAAGATTTATAGGACAAAAAATATTAGATTTGTATATACGAGTGAAAAATAAGTGCAATAAAGTAAATAAAATAAATAATAACGGGTGATTTTTGTAGGCTACATCCACAAGAGAAAATAATCAAATTCCCCTATTAAAAATAATGATTACAATTTTTTTTCAAGAGACGAGCTCTTTTAGGCTCTATGACTTCTTTTAGGGACTTTCTCTCCCTAGATTTTCCTTCCTTGAAGTTATTCTCTCTCTCAAAGGATTTAGATCTTGCAGGAACTCTCTTTTTTTTCTCTCTTCTCTCTAAAGGGTATTTTCTCGTAAATAATAGCCATCCAAATAAAAAGTAAAATCAACAGTCCAAATATTTTCTCCAACAAGGTATGGGACACATTTCAACGCCTTTTTGCAAACCTTGAGAGGGTATAATGGAGGCATATTGATTGAGCTTCATGACGAGTCCTTTTGGAATAAGGAAAAGTTTATATAGAGCCAAGGCTCCAAACAATCAAATTTGAGCCTACCTCAAAATTTTCACTAACAGAGGTTGTTTTGATGTCCAAATATCATCAAATTGATTATCTCGACATCAAGATGCATGAATATGAGAAAAAAAATCGATTTTATGTTTTGAAAATAGTGTATTTCGTTATGTATTTTTGAACCATTAATTTTCCAGATTTTAAAGTTTTCATAGATATGTCAATCTACACTATTTGTAAAGCTTTAAACTTTATAAATAAAAATGAAAATGTATTTTAAAGTTATCACAAAGATTTTTAATATTAAAACCATATTTCTCGACACTATTTAAAAGTAGGCTCTAATTCGATTGTTTAGAGCCTAGGCTTTATACAAATTGCACCTTTTGGAATATCCATACTAGAATTCTATGACCCCTTTAGTACCTTTGAAAATTAACTTCCAGGATATTCTTCCTTGGACGTAAAGCATCTACAATGATTTCCAATGATCTTCATGTTATCCCTGCATTTACCTCATTTTGAGGAAAATATCTTTCAACTAAATTAGTCGCTTTATTCCATAAAAATGATTATTATTGTTTAATACCTCCAATCATTTCTACTC